TCTGCCTACCTCTGCATTCCCATTCACCTTTCGCCCTTCCACTCCATCTCCCTCTTCCCCTCCCCTCCCACCAGCCATCGTGGTGCCACAACACTGAGAGACTCACACATCCCCAACATCTCACTCACTGCTGCCAGCCTCTGCATTCCCATTCACCCTTCGCCCTTCCACTCCCATGTCAACCTTCCCCTCCCCTCCCACCAGCCATCGCGGCGCCACAACACAGAGAACGACTCAGTTTCCCAACATCTCAGCCACTGCTGATGTTACCCTCTTTGAAGGAGGCTACTGGGGTGCGTCGTTCTGTCAGGAGCCTCTTAAAGCCCTCCGGGTGTACCTGCGCGAGTTTGTGCGCTGGGGCATTTCCGCCGTTGCGCCCGGAAAAGGTTCACCCATCGCCTCATGATTAAGAACTGGAAAGTGGCATATCTGCCCGTGCGATGAGACAGATGTTACTGTACACATGAAACAACCTGTGGGTGATAACTGCAGTGCATATTCTAGACCGTATCAGCTGAGAAGAGTTGTATGCTTGTAGCCATATATAGTATACTTGTATAACGTACATGCTACAGTGTGCTTTGCAGCAGTCTGTCAGCTGCCAATTGTAGCTGTAATCCTAGAGGCAGCTTGGATACCCCTCCTTCGCCTCCTTGTAACCTGCAGCCCACCCTTTCACCTCCCCTCCCCTCTGCTGCTCACGGAGGCGAGAAGCTGTGCGGCTGGAGCTCTTACATACAACCCCCCCCCCACCCCACCGTCAACATCACGTCTCATGGCTCGCTCGTAACCCAGTGCAATCCCCTCAGCCAGTTGGCTTGGGAAAGAAGCACCACCATGCTCCACCGTCAGCACCACCATCAGCACCATCATCAGCACTGGCATCAGCATCAGCATCAGTATCCGTTCACCATCACATGTCTACCATCATCATAATCTCTGCTGCTTGCTCCTCGCTCACTGTCACCCCCTCGGCTTATGAGACGCCTCAAGAGGCATCAGGATCCCAATGACCATCACATATCTGCCATCATCATCGTCATCATCATTTCGGAAGCTTGCTCCTCGCTCACTGTCACCCCCTCAGCTTCCAACGCTTCTACCTTTTGCACCCACACAGGCTTGTGCGACGGGAAGAACGTAATTTGCGAGTACGCGCTGAATATCTTGTGGAATTTACCCGTGGGTCGGGCAGGCCAGTTTTCGACGAGGTATTTGGAGAGTTCGTACTCGCTTTCGAACTGGTTCTTGTTGTACTTGCACTCGGTTACAAAGTAACGGCCGAGATAGTTGGAAAACGTGCCTGCCCACTGTGAGACAACCAAGGGGAGAAGGCGGGACGAAGTGTGAGGAGCAAGTCAAGATGCGGGTCACAACGACTTGTGCAGCATTGAGGCAAGACGTGGAGGGGCTTGTGACGAAATTCAGTGATTCCACTGCCGTGTCAAGTCACACGAGGACAAGAAAGAATTCGGGTTCCACAAAAGTGATGTTTGGTATAAGGAAAATGGGACAAGGACAGAGAAAAGAACGAAGTAAACGAGGACAGGGAGTTGGGAATGGAGTGAGGCTGGGGAGCTCTTTCTTCATTCAAAATGTGATTAGGCCTATTACCTCGTTATGGGAGATCTCGTGCTTGGGGTTCCACTCCCACGGAGCCTTCTCGGGATGCCACTGCGATCCGTAGAACGGGAAGTGCCTGCCCTCCACCGTCGACACAAACTCCGTGCCGTTGCGATCTTCGTCAACGGACAGAATGCGAAACACTTCGTGCGCTGGCGACGCGCGGAAGTCGTCGGGGTGTACACCCAGCCCGTGGTTGTTGAACGCGAGGTCCCCGAGGGGCGACGCGACCTGCTTGAAGAGCTCGTAGCTCATCCCACCGAACAGCCGCGACAGCCAGCCGTCCGCGGTGAACCCGAGGTTGATGGCGAAATTCTCCGCGTCGACTTCGCGAATCCAGGTCCCGTTCACGTCGTTGGCGAACAGCTGCGAAATCGGAAATGAGTGAAGGACATGGGAGGGATGGAATCTCGATTACAGTTGCGAACCTCGTTCATTACAGTTACTGGAGCACGCAAGCCAATGTGGCTGTTGTTTGTCGAACGTCGCACTGAATCGTAACATTCCACAGACGTGGAACATGTCACTGACTTGCAACACGCCGCACTGACATGGAACATGCGCTCGAAGCCGAGGCAGATGCCCCAGAGAGAGTTGACTTTTGAGTCGCCTTAAAAGTCAACGCCCTAAACAACGCTCTGACTCATCACACGGTACTGACCTGGAACATGCGCTCGAAGCCGAGGCAGGTGCCCCAGAGCGGGTAGTAGTTGCCGTTGCTGTTCTCCTTCACCACGTGCTTCCACACGTACTCCGTCGTCGCCAGGTACTTGGAACCCTCGGGATCCTCCTCCGTCGGATTGAAGTCCACCAGCCCACCCGTCCAAAACACGCCGTTGATTCTGAATATCGCACGCACGCACGCAGGCAAGTGTGAGGCGAGGAAAAACGACGAGATTTTGATTAATTTTTCCTTCTTTGTTGACAGGTTAGATTGACACGTTACTGATTATGACTCGCACGCACGAATGGCCCATGGAAGAAAATGTGATATCGGCTTGATCTGTGAAAGTGATTGATGAAGTGCTTGTGACCGGCTCAAGGATTCGAATCATCAGCGTTTACTCAACCCGTTTACTCAACCAGATTCGACGAAGTCTCACCTGTTAAGAATGAAATCAAGCTCCTCCTTGGTCGAGTCGTAGAAGATGGGTACCACGCGCGCGCCGCCGGCCTCGATCCATCGCTGGTACGACGTGGCGAACGACGACACGCCGATCTTTCGCTGCGACGGAACGGTGATCGGGAGAGTGAGCACGCCGACGACTGGCCGGTCCGTGAACTGATGCGGTGGCCGAATGTAATTGTCCTGTTGCCCGCGCCTGGCGAGAATCGCTCCTGACGAGAATGAGCTGTCCAATGCGAGTGTTGGGATCGAGAGAAACGCGATGACGGTGACGAGAAGTAGGACCTTCATGGTTACTGGACTACGTAAGGATTCCTCCAGTTGAAGACTTGCAAGCCCGTAGTGGCTGGAATCCAGCCGATCCAATGGTTTTTTTGATTGAATCCCACGCTGAGAGGGGGATCAAGATGCAATTCTGCAGAGGTGTTCGAACTCGCGAGAACGAGAGCTGGGCAAAGCGCCTCAAGGAACCATCGAAGAGGTGTATCTGGGGCTGAAACAGCAAAATGAAATCGACATGGCTTTCTGCGGCTGAATTTGATTTATGAAGGGGAATGGCGGTGCGGGAGGAAGGCAGGGGCCGCATTTGGTTTGGACGAAGGGCTGAACCACACAGATGCACCAATACAGCGTCGCCCATTGACGCAATCAAAGAGCTCCAGGCAGATCCGACGGACATACTTGATTTGAAAGTCGCACTCCGTCTTATTGCGACTGACATATGAAACCAATCGTTGCGTTCGTGGTCGGGACAGGAGGGACTGCGGTTTTCCATTTCGCAGGGCGCTGTTTTCGCAGCGAGGGGCTCGCGCTGATGGGGCGGGGTTCTGTTACCGCTGCGCTTGCGGATGGGTGACCATCAACGTCGGCAAAGGGTCAAATTTCCACGTGGTGTTACACGTGCTGCAAGGGTGAAAGGGTAGTTGCTACGTGGCACTGGAGCTTTGGAGAGAAAAATGACTTCCAAGGTTCGCGGCGCCGAAAGGAGCACCAGGACATGTCGCACAAGCCTGTTGCCGCAAGCATCACTGGGGCTGATCAGTTCGACAGGAGTTGACGGAGATTCAGCAAAACCAACGGCGCGCTTACGGGAACAGCGAAATTTAGGGGCGCTAACCAGTTAGAGAAAAAAAACGAAAGCCAGGTCGTCCACATATTGTGGAGATCTCCTCCACCACAGATAGTGAAGCGCGGATGAGTGTGTATTATATCCACATAACTACACAATTCAGTTTAAGTGAGATGCATAACTGACTGTCATCATGTCATGATGTAATGCTGTCTGATCTCTCAACTCATGACAGGCGTATTTATTGATTATAAGAAAATATTATACATTTTTTCCTCCTGTGAGGTGATTAATTTGTTTTTTATTCAGTGTTCCAAAATAACCATGGAAATGCGATTGTATAGATGTAATGGCAGCTGATATTGGGAATATGTAGTGTACTTTCTTTGTGCTTCAAGCTCTCCATCCAATCCATGGAACACCCCTACCGCTCAGCTCCATGCGAGTTGCCTGCCCAATGACCAGATTTCCCCCTCCGTATATCCCGGGGACTCAGGTGAGGTCGGGTCAGGTCAGGTCAGGTGCCCGTGGTCAGGTCACATATCTGACGGCACGGCAGTCACCGCACGAGGGTCCTGCTTCGGCAGTTCATTGCACAGTTTGTAAGCTAAGGGCGTGTGTGATTTTGCCGAACCTGACAAAGTTCGAACTCAAACCGCTTTGCACCGTGGCAAAACTCTTTTAACTGTATCCTACCGTGACGAAACGTTATTAAAGTTCGAACTTTCAGTCAGGTTCGGCAAAATCACACACGCTCTTGGTCGACGCACGTCTAGCCGTCCAATGAACTCGATCTGGGTGGACGGGGCTTGAGTTCCCGTCCACCATCGAATTCGCCGATGGATCCTTCATATTACTTGGTTTGAAAAGGTGCAGTGTGATCTCTAGGCTTCCATCGTGACTGACAGTGCTTTACCATGCGGTTCTGTGCTCGGCAGAGTGGTCCGACGAGCTCGGGAATCCGCATTTTCGGCACTCTTCAAATGACCAGGCAAGTGTGATTCCGCTGAGCCCAGCAACCAGGCTGATGAATAGAATTATTGGTATTCTCTAGCACTTGTGCTCTCTTCAAAGGATGGCTAATCCAAGCGCGAGGCATTGAGGCTGGTTTCTTGCAACGTGGTCTGCTGTCACGTAGGAAGTGTAAGGTCTTACTTTTATGCGACAAGCTCTGCGCTATTCATGTCAGAGGCGATTACTGGAGTAATCGCAGAGACGTGGAACATGGAGACCACATTAGGCGAGACGTTCGTCGACATTTTCATTCCAATGTCGGCGGCTCTAGGCATAGCGTTCGCTCTCTACCAATGGGGCGTCGTGAGCCGGGTCAAGCTGACAGCGCCGTTGAGCGTGTATGGCTTGGAGGATGGACAGGCGGATAACGTGGACCAGCAGATCGCGGAGATTCAGTATGCCATCTCAACCGGTGCGTACGTCCGGATAAGTTAGATGCGTTTCAATGTGTTCGTACGACGGCTTAAAGGTCTGTGAAGGTTGACTTGCTTCGATGGTGCTCGGCGTCCGTACGGTTCATCCCGTGCATAGAATTTTTTTTATCCTAATAGTTGTGAATGCCTCGTAACTTTTTGTCAGCAAGATCACGCTTTTCTGTATCGCTACACAGCCTCTTGTTCTCCGTGATATTGCCAGGTTGACTAGGGGGGTGTTACATTACGTACCATTTCGTGTTCTTTGATGTCTGTAAAAATAAAACGCGTCCCGGCATTTCGTTATGTAGGACATGAAAACAGTTTGCGCGTGTACGTGTCGCAAACTGCATTGAACGCATTGCCGCCATGTCCATTTATCAACAAGATACGCTGTACATATACACTGCTTATCCACCCACCACCATTCCTTGTAATGGTGCTAATGGTGCTAATGGTGCTCATCAATGCCGAATTTGCGACATTTCATGCGTTGCATCCCGTTTCATCCAAGCGGTCTCTCCACGGCACTTATGCACGTTTATTCGCAACATTCTCCCATGCCATCCGTCGCCTTCCTTTCCTTCCTCCCCGCACTTCCACCCTTATCGCAGGCCCGACAGCGTTGAAGTACTTGGCATGATTCGCAGCGCTCTTCCAGCATCCCAATTTCTATTGTTTTTCCTACTCACCCCGCTGCATTTCACCTCCCTGTTCCCGCTCCCCCCCTCACTCCCACAGGCGCGTCGTCGTTCCTAGCAACGGAGTACAAGTACCTAGCGGCGTTCATGGCGTTCTTCAGCGTGCTCGTCTTCCTCTTCCTCGGCTCCGTCAACACCTTCAGCACGGCGTGGCAGCCCTGCCCGGACAACCCCTCACAGCTCTGCGCGCCCTCGCTCGCCAACGCATTCTTCACCACTGTCGCGTTTATTCTCGGCGCGCTCACGTCGACGCTGTCCGGATACCTAGGAATGAAGATCGCCACTTGTACGTCACCTTCCGTCACCTTCTCTCTCTCCCTCTCCATTTTTTTTCCCTCGCTCGCCAACGCATTCTTCACCACTGTCGCCTTCATTCTCGGCGCGCCCACGTCTACCCTGTCGGGATACCTGGGAATGAAGGTGCACCACTTTACGTGATTCCCTTTCTCTTGTATTCCCTCTCTCGCTCTCTCTGTCTCCACCTTGGTATTCCGTCACTCCTGACACTGTGTACGCCACTGTCGCGCTTATTCTCGGCGCTCTCGCATCGACATTCTGGGGCTGTCTAGATGAGGCCGATTGACTTCTCTTCCCTCTTTGCCTTCCCTTTCCACCGCTTCTCATCCTTCCGCTTGATCTCCAACATCGTCTCTCCCTCGCTCCCATTTCGCAATCGCCCGTCATCCTCCCGCCAGACGACAATGCGCGCACGACAGTGGAGGCACGGCGCGGAATCGGGCCAGCCTTCGTGGTAGCCTTCCGTTCAGGCGCAGTAATGGGCTTCCTGCTGGCAGCCAACGGGCTGATCGTGCTGTTCATCACCATCGTGCTCTCCGCCTCTACTACGGCAACGACTGGGTCGACGAATTCACCGCTCCCTTCCTCTTTCCTCCCTTCCCCAAACGCCCGTCGCCCCTCCCCCAGACGCGAATGCGCGCACGACAGTGGAGGCACGGCGCGGAATCGGCCCAGCCTTCGTGGTAGCCTTCCGTTCAGGCGCAGTGATGGGCTTCCTGCTGGCAGCCAACGGGCTGATCGTGCTGTTCATCACCATCGTGCTCTTCCGCCTCTACTACGGCGACGACTGGGCGTCGCTCTTTGAGACCATCACGGGGTACGGGCTGGGCGGCTCCAGCGTCGCGCTGTTCGGGCGCGTGGGCGGGGGGATCTACACCAAGGCGGCGGACGTGGGCGCGGACCTGGTGGGGAAGGTGGAGCGGAACATCCCTGAAGACGACCCAAGGAACCCAGCGGTGAGTGTATGAGGTGTTTCACTGCTGGGTGTTCCGAGGCACTGGAAGACCAAGGCGGCGGATGTGGGCGCGGATCTGGTGAGAAAGGTGGAGAGGAATCCAGAACACGACCCAAGGAATCCAGCGGTGTTTGAGTTTTGAGACGTCTCAGTTTTAGTGTTGCGCTGTTTGGGCGCGTGGGCAAAGGGAGTTTACACCAAGGCAGCGGACGTGGGCGCCATCTGGTGGGGAAGGTGGAGCGGAACATTCCGGAAGATGACCCAAGGAACCCAGCGGTGAGTGGATGAGGTGTACCCCTGGTGGGTGGGTGTTTTGAGGCACTAGATGACATGTCTTGTGGGAGGTAGGAAAGAAGGGCCTTCGTAAAACAAGCTGCGAACTGGCATGAGGCATAAAGAAGGTTGGGGGATCCAACGTCCCCCCTCCATCCCCCCTCCATCCCCCCCCCCCTTCCATGCTTTCCCACGCGTGCTTCCTGTGCAGGCTATCGCGGACAACGTGGGCAACAACGTGGGGACATAGCAGGCATGGGCTCAGACCTCTTCGGCTCCACCCCATACACGCTTCACTCATCATTCTCTCCCCACTCTTCCCCTTCCCCCCCCCACCTCTCCTCTCCCCTCCTGGTTCCAACACCAGGTCATTGCAGACAACGTGGGAGACAACATAAGGGACATCGCCGGCATGGGGTCGGACCTCTTCAGCTCCACCCCTTCTGCGCTTCTTTCCTCATTAATATCTTTCCCCTGCTCCCCCCTCCTTGCTGCAACACCAGGTTATCGCGGACAACGTGGGAGACAACGTGGGGGACATAGCAGGCATGGGCTCGGACCTCTTCGGATCCTTCGCCGAGTCCACCTGCGCGGCGCTCGTCATCGCGTCCATCTCCTCCCTGGGCCAGACGCACAACTTCACCGCCATGTGCTTCCCCCTCCTCGTCTCCGCGCTCGGCATCCTCGTGTGCCTCTTCACCACACTCTTTGCCACTGACTGCTTCCACGTCACCGAAGCCCGGCAGGTAGAACCCCAACTAAAGGCGCAGCTGCTGATCAGCACCGTGCTGATGACGCCGCTCGTGCTGGGGCTATGTTACCTGGCGCTGCCCTCGTCGTTTACCATTGTGGTGGCGGGCGAGGAGGCGGACAAGACGGCGCAGAACTGGCAGATCTTCTTCTGCGTGGCGTCGGGGCTGTGGGGCGGGCTGCTGATTGGATATGTTACCGAGTACTTCACCAGCCATGCCTACTCGTGAGTGTAGAGGGTTAAAGTTTGAGCAATGGAGGTTACCTTCTCCACCTTCCCTCCCCCCTCTCCCCCTTCTTCCCCCCCTTCACACTCCTCATCCACTCCCCCCATCCCACCCTTCCCTCCCCCATCATCCATCTCCCCTCCCTCTCGCTCCCCGCCCTGCCCATCCACCCTGCCCCAACAGCCCTGTAAGAGATGTAGCAGACTCGTGCCGCACGGGAGCAGCCACCAACATCATCTTCGGGCTAGCCCTCGGCTACAAATCAGTAATAGTGCCCGTGTTCGCCATCGCGGTGGCCATCTACCTCAGCTATGCCATCGCCGCCATGTATGGGGTCGCGCTGGCCGCCCTGGGCATGCTCTCCACGCTCGCTACCGGCCTCGCTATTGACGCGTACGGGCCGATCTCGGACAATGCCGGGGGGATTGCGGAGATGGCAGGGCTTGGGGCGGACGTCAGGGAGAGGACGGATGCGCTGGATTCTGCTGGGAACACCACTGCTGCCATTGGCAAGGTGCGTGTAGGAAAGACCGAGTGCCTTTACCCCATCTCGTTTCCCTACTCCCGTCTCACTGTATAATTTGGTTTCACTACACTCTTCCATCTTGGTGCCACCACTGTTACACTTCCTCTTCCAAACCCCTCACTGATGCCGAACCCCTCACTGATGCCGAACCCCTCACTGATGCCGAACCCCTCACCTCTGTCGCCTCCCTCCCGCATCACCTGCAGGGCTTTGCCATTGGGTCAGCAGCGCTGGTGTCGCTGGCTCTGTTTGGAGCGTATGTGAGCCGCGCGCAGGTCACCAACATCCTCATCACCAACCCTCAGGTGCGTTGATTATGAGGTGCGCAGGTGCGTTGATTATGAGGTGCGCAGGTGCGTTGATTATGAGGTGCGCAGGTGCGTATATTCATCCCTTCATCCACCCCTCTGGTTCTCAATTTCACGAGTTTCTCTCCTCATCATTACCGTGTGCCAGGGTGATCACCATGCTCCGCACCAATCCCCATGTGCGCTTGTCACCATCCCTCACGCCTCACCACTGCCACCCCTCACTGCTTCGCGGCCGTCTTACAGACTCTCACCACACGCACACCATGCTACTTCTCTCCATTCCTTGCTCACCTCTCACTTGCCTCCCAGACGTTTGTAGGCCTGCTGGTGGGCGCCATGCTGCCGTACTGGTTCAGCGCCATGACCATGAAGAGCATCGGCAAGGCAGCTTGCACACTCTCACGACACTCACACCTCCACTCCCCTCCCTCCCCTCCCCTCTCCTGGCAGACTTTCGTGGGGCTGCTCGTAGGCGCCATGCTGCCGTACTGGTTCAGCGCCATGACAATGAAGAGCGTGGGCAAGGCAGCTCTAGCAATGGTGGACGAGGTGCGGCGGCAGTTTGACACCATCCCGGGCCTCATGGAGGGCACCGCCCGCCCCGACTACCGCAAGTGCGTGCAGATCTCAACCAAGGCCTCGCTCAATGAGATGCTGCCACCTGGCGCGCTCGTGCTGCTCTCGCCAATCATCACCGGGACTCTCTTTGGGACGGCGACCCTGGCAGGGCTCCTAGCAGGAGCGCTGGTGTCGGGGGTGCAGATGGCGGTATCGGCTAGTAACACGGGTGGCGCGTGGGACAACGCGAAGAAGTATATCGAGGCGGGGATGTCGGAGCATGCACAGTCGCTGGGACCCAAAGGGTCAGAGGCTCACAAGGCAGCGGTGATTGGAGATACAGTCGGTGATCCGCTCAAGGATACGTCTGGGCCGTCGCTGAACATTCTCATCAAGCTGATGGCTGTTGAGTCGCTGGTGCTGGCGCCGTTCTTTGTGGCGCACGGTGGGCTGATTTGGGGCAAGTCCAAGTGAAGATGGGAACGAGGAGGAGGGGGGCAGTTTGGAGGGGCGGATCGGAGCGTGTCCTGGTTGTATAGGGCATTTGGTCAATAAGATTGTTGTTGAGTCGCTGGTGCTGGCGCTCTTCTTTGTTGCACACGGCGGGCTGATTTGGGGCAAGGCTAAGTGAGGGAAGAGGGAGGGAGATTGGAAGACAAATTAGGAGTTTTTGGCTGGTAGCACCGTACCAAGCTGTTTTGGTTGTGATTTCGAGTCAACTCTCATGTCAGGGGCGGAGCCTACTCATGGAGGGGGTTTGCTTCAAACACCTCAATACATCTAACGACCGACAATTAGTAGATTAGTTGGCGAGATTTGTGGTAGGGGGATGGGGAGGGGGGGTAAGCTAGTGGCAGCAGGACCACTGGTGCTGGTAGCCTTAGACCATAGTTGGCACATAAGGGGCTACTCTGAGCAGGGCTGTTCCAGTTAGATGAGAGGCTGTGGGAAGATGGAGCTCAAAATTTTCCTTGGTTTGAGTACAATACCCCAGTAGGTGTGGTATAACTCATTGCTGCAGGTATGGGAATGGGGTGCTAGGTAATATAGGTGACATGACCTAGGTGTTTGCTGAGGGTACTTCCACAGCCCAATGTGTTGATTCGGGTCCCTTTCCTTGGTTTGGCGTATAACGATAGAATTTATATTAATGAAAGTTATGTTGGATAATAATGTATGTAGTCCTTTGTTTTGTGATGCCGACATAAGCCAGAAAGAAGTCTACACTTTATCACGACCGTGTGATAATAGATGGAAACTTGCAGCGATGATAAAATATATTACTGCGGAACCTGTCGCGGAAGTCTCCCGCGCAAAATATTCAAAAACTGCGCTTCGTCGGGATGGTCCCCAGCCCAGCGCAGTTTGGCGGCTGCTTTGGGCTCCATCCCGGTGGCGAAAGTCGTCTCACCCCAATAGCCTCGAGTTTCGCTTTTGTCATTCGCCCGCGAAAGCTTCGAGCCGACCTGTGTGGCGGGCGGAGGCCAGCGGAAGCCTCTGTTTTGGCGACTCCCTCTCGCCTGTCGTCACCTCCCCCCAGGAAGTGCATACAGCCTCCCAGAGACAGAGCCAACCCGGCGACACTCCCAAGGCCATTTCAGCCACCTCTGCTGAATTCCCCACTTCCTCAAGTCAGTGATTCTCTCTAGTCATCGTTAGCTCGTGCTTTGTTTCCATGGCTTTCTCAGCTCGCCATGGCTGCTGTTCGAAATCCCTCAGAGATGTAGCTTACTACGATTAGGCCATATTCTTAAGGATATTATTTATGGTAATAGTACCTTATCTCGACAAGCCTGTTCCATTTGGAGAATTGGTAGAGTCGTATCAGAAATTCTGATACGCTGATGTTAACTGCCTGCCTCTTAGCTTATAACCGCGGTAGCTATTATTCGAAATCGCTAAGGCAGTTTCACTGTGTTAATTTCAACGAGCACTACCACGTTGATTTTCAGCATCTAGACTCTGGTAAACTGATGATTAACCGATAGTTCTCAGCTCATCAACATGATTCCTGACGGTTGTTTCCTGATAAGGTTTCCACCGCTCTAGTTGAAGCGTATGTCGCTTCCGTTTCGTTTAAGCGTCGTTCCGGTATAGTCGTACAACAAACTACTCGCCGATGGTTGCGATGGTCGCCGAAAGCCGAATGCTAAGTCAAGGCATTATGATACGTGAAGCAGCACTGTGTCAAGAATGACATACTAGCCGCTTCTGGTAGCATCTTCAGGCAGTACCGGAAGCACGGAGTGTTATTACGGCAGTTTCCAACGGGGTCGACGGTTTTCACGTCAGAATGGCGCCGTAATGGTCAGAATGGCGCCGTAATGGTCAAGGCGACCGGCATCCGGCGTCCGTAATGATCTACGAGCATCATCATTAGCAACAAGAAAAGCACCTTCGGGACGAGGGAAGCAGTCCCGAGGCAACCGGCATCCGGCGTCACGGTGACTCACGGCGACACAGTGACATTCGACACAGAGACGGAAACTAATGGGTTAACTACTCCGAGCAATGAAGGAATACTATGGAGAGCGATACGACGACGAGAGAGTTTCGGCTATGGGAACGATGTTGCGTCAGTAATTCGGTAGCACTTGGGTAGCGTTGGTCTCAACTGACTAAGTGAGAAACCAAGTAGAATTGTAATATCAACTATGAAGTTCATACAAGCAAACACACAAGATAGATATAGGCTACGGGGAGGTTTCACAAAGTTGCCGTGGCGCTGCGCAGTAACCCAACCCCACGAAAGTGGTGTGTGAGTGAGCGAACGCGCCTTGTCAACTTCCCAACCCAACTCAGCAGGGAAGTCAATGCCGGGCTCGCCAATTCTCCCAGCACACCAGAAATGGCGAGACTCACAGAGAATCACCCACAACTACCAAGACCACCCAAGAAGCACGCCCACGACTCCCTAAGCTAGCACCACCCCAGCAGTGACTTCATTAGCGCCGTCATTGTCATTCGACGTCATAGGGTCGGTGCAGGGCCGCGTATAGTCTTGGTCGTTCATCGACCTGCCAAGTCAATGCACATCGTCGAGGGCCCTTGCTGTCGTAGGGCCCTCTAACACTCCCCTGCCATACTACAGCAAGGCCCTTTATAATCACAGGGCATGCATACACACATACACGCGAAAACAAAGGGAAACACACACAAACGAAGCACTCTCAAAGTGCAAACACGCACCGCACCAGCCATGGATAGGCCATGGCACCATCCACAATTTGGAGTGTCTAGGTCTCACTCCCCTCGCTCGAGAGCCTCACCTGCCCCACAGCCTCGAAGCAACGGCTGAAGGCGGGGAAATGCAATGCCTTCGTGAGGTAGTCAGCAGGCTGCTCGCTCGTAGGGATGTACTGAAGCTGCAGCTTCCTGCGCTTGACCATGTGCTGCAGCCACATGTGACGACGCTCCATGTGCTTGAGGCTCCCCTTGAGCCCCATGCCACCTGCCACTGAAATGGCGGAGGAGTTGTCCACAAAGAGAGTAGTGGGAACCTCACTCCTCAGCAGTTGAAACTCTGCCAGCAGGAAGCGCAGCCTGCGCGCCTCCTTCCCAGCCTCCACAGCAGCAACGTACTCGGACTCAGTGGAGGAGAGGGTGGCGCAACGAATCCTCTGGCTCGCCCAAGAGACAGCAGCACCTCCGAGCACGAAGACATAGCCACCAGTGCTAGTCCTGTTCTGCTTGTCTCCTGCATCATCAGCATCGGCGTAGCCCACCAGCTCCAAGGACTCAGGCCCACCACCAAACTCCAGCGCAACATCCCTGCTCCCCACCAAGTACGCCAAGCACCGGTCCAACTCCTTCCAGTGCTGGTCACTCCGCACAGTCTGGCCTGACCCCAGCTTGCTGCAGGCAAAGGAGATGTCGGGACGGGTGGTACAGGCTGCGAACTGCAAGGATCCCACCTTCTGCCTGTACTCCTCCTCCTGGCGAGACTGCCATCCCGCATCCTCAAAGGTCTGCACACTGAAAGGGTCAGAGGAAAGGGGGGTGCGAGGCACTCGCAGCGGCTGCTCCCCGTCGAAGAAGCGCCTATGGACCTTGTCCACGTAGGCCCCCTGGTGCAGCCACAGCCTCCTCGTAGGCCTGTCCCGAATCAGCTGCAACCCCAGGTACTTCTCCACAGGGCTAATCTCCCGCAGCTGAAACGCACTCTGCAGCAGCTCACGTAGCTCCCCCAGCATGCTCTGACTGCGGCTGGCAGCAAGCAAATCATCCACATACACCAGCAGCCAGCACATCTCCCCCTCAGCATCACTCTTGAAGTACAGAGCCTCATCCACCTGGCTCTTCTTCCATCCAGCCCCAAGCAGCACCCCATCCAAGGCCTCATACCACAGCATCGGGCTTTGCTTGAGGCCATACAGACTCTTCAGCAACTTACAAACACGAGGGGTCCCATCCTCGTAGTAGCTCGGCTGCTCCATGTAAAGGTCACGGTCCAGCACGCCATGGAGGAACGCGTTCTTCACATCCAGCTGCATCAGGTCCAAATCAAGTGCAGCTGCAATCGCCAGAAGAACTCGTGCCGTCACATAGCTTCCCACAGGGGCGTACGTCTCCTCATAGTCCACCCCTGCCACCTGCGTGAACCCCTTCACCACCAGCCTCGCTTTCTCACGCTCCACTACCCCATCCGGTCGGAACTTGGTGTTCAGGATCCAGCGGTTCTTCATCACATTCACCCCTGGCGGACGCGGAACCAACTCCCACGTCCCCTGCTCAATCAAGCTCCGCATCTCCTCATCCATCGCCTCCTTCACCTTGTCGCCCTTCCAGCAGCCCAAGGCCTCCTTCACTGTCATCTTCGCTATATCCCACTGCCTCTCAGGGTCGGCCACCACGTCAGGATCCAGGTCCGTCCACTCCTCGTCCTCCTCCTCGTCATCCAATCCCGCTGGCTCAATCACTAAAGCCCAAGCATACTTAAGAGGCGGGACACCACGAGTGATGCGAGTGGAGCGACGCAGCGGTGCAGTGATCGTCCCAGAAGCCAACACACGACCACCATCTCTAATTCCCCACATCTCCTGCTCCCCTGTCTGCTGCTCCCCTAGCTGCTGGTCCACCATCTGCTGCTCCTCAATCTGCTCCTCCCCTATCTGCTGCTCCCCACTCTGCTGCTCCCCTGACTGCTGCTCCCCTATCTCCTGCCCCCCACTCTGCTGTACTCCATCCATACTGCTCTCGTCCTGCAGCTGCTCAGTCTCAAGGCGCTGCCCGTCGGTGATCTCCACAGACGAGGGCACCACTATCCCCCCCTCACCAACGGGCGGCGCCGTGGAAGACGAAGAGGAGGGTGGAGCAGGTGCAAGAGGGATGGAGGGTGGAAGGGGAGAGGGAATAACAGGAGGAGGAGGGGAATCCAAGGGGGGTGAGGAGGAAGAAGGTGGTGCAGGGGGAACCACACGAGGGTAAACTGGAAGGAGGAGGTGGGGCGGGGACCGAGGTGGGGACATAGGGCA